GAGTGAGAGAAAGGTGGAAGAGGGAGGATGAAAAAGAATAAGAAGGTCGAAGGTCGAACGACGCGTTGAACAATAACAAAAAAAAAAAGGGCGGAAGAAGTCCCGGAAGAGGCCGTGGGGTTAAAGCGGCGGTGCGTGGGCAAGTGTTGGTACTTTGCTCTCGGCGGTGAGACCCGTGCCGCCCTAAGTATATCTCTTTCCGTTGGACTCTTCATATAGTTATCGTGAAGGTCTTGTCTCCTACTTAAACTGCTTTTGCACTTATATATACGGAGTCCAGTTGATGATTTCCCCCTTCAAGAGTATAGTAGAGATGATGAAACAGGTCCTGAAGGAGTTATTCTCATCCCCCTCAGGACGGCCGCTCAGCGTAATACTACAAGGAGAGACATGGCAGGCCAGGAGCACAAGGAGCACAAGGAGGTGCTGTCATGTACCATTCGGATTGTCCGATAAGGCGAACAACAACAGTTAGCTCGCCTAGCTGGTTACAGTCGTACCCAAGAGAATGAGAAAAAAAAAAAGGACGGAGAAATTGAAAAAAAAAAGGGAGAGGAAGAGAGAAGTGAAAACAAAGGGAAAAAAGGAGAAAAAGAAAGGAAAAGAGCGCAATGATCCTTGATCCCGGTTTGGATCTGCGAATGGGATTGCTGCCTGCAACCGCCAGAAACAGCTCACACCCTCACGAGTCACCACATGGCCTAATTATGAATTATATGCTGTCAGTACGTGTTGTTCTGGCAGGCCCAGCAGCGCCCATCGAATTTGTGCCCTTCGCTACCTAATTTTGTTGATGTGTTTGGATGCTCCCCTTCGTCCGGGACGTGGCCGGAGATATGTGCTACTCTTCTGAGCATATACTCCGTGTATCTATTGCGCTAATCTCGGAACTTGGGATGGAGAATGACCGGCCTTTCAAGGTTTTGTTTCTGCTTTAAAACCCCCGAAACGTGCATGATGAAGGCATTGACTTGTCGAACCCTGCAGGTGAGGAATGTACGGGCTTTATACATGATCATGTTATAGTTGAGCCCAGGAGGAACTGCATTTCGGATGGCCTGATCATCTATACTAGCTTGCATTATAGTCGAACGTCATCCCCCATCGTTATAACATACTATCGTCTTGCTCGGGCTTTTGACGCCGCCCAACGGCCTGCGCGATGCTATCAATTGTTGGTTTAAAAGATTATCCAATATATATTGACAACCGGATTTAGAAAGCGGCTGTGACGAAACACGTTGACTGAGAGAGTCCGAACGACTGGGGCAGGGGCCGAAATGGCCAGGGGTCCGGATACATTCAGATATTGCTTCCAGTAGACTGATATGTAATGATCAAAAGTAGCTTCGAGGGAAGGATAGTTTTGCATAGATAGTATATATATATAAATATATATTACCGAAAGTCATAGGTGGAGAGACGCGGTTAACGCTCCTGTTTCTTGGTTCGGATAACGCTTCCTTTGCGGAGAACTATATAACTACGGAGTATGTACCATGCATAACAGGGACAGGCCCAAACAAGCATGCAAAAACAGGGTCCAAAAGAAAAGAGACCAAGAGAGCAAGACACAAAAACAAGACAAGGGGGAAAAAGGAATTCCTGAAGGCCCAGAAAAAAATATGACTTAACACCTTTTTTTTTTATTTCTTTTGCTTGGTCATATATTATTATTATTTAGTGCTCACGAATAAAGTGAAGCGTCAGGGTGTTGAAGCAGGTAACTAGCGTGGACATACTTATCCACAAGCGGCAACCCGGAAAAAGCAAAGGGAGGGAAGCAGGCCACGGACCCTTGAAAGAGGTCAGCACACTCCATCCATAGAAGCCTCATCGAAGGGAGATCGAATCGCGCTGCAACTTCGTACATTGTGATGGCCTGGCGAAAGAACTCCGCAGACCAGTTCGATCTAGCAGCGGCATGATGGTTGGAATGGCAATTGCGCAACCAATATTCTGTTAATGCAACCCTTCGACCGGTTAGACGGCACAGATGAAGCAATTGAGTTAACTGGCTTATCAGCAGAGACGGGACGTGGTATCGGCATCTACGTTCCCATCCTCTCATTTCCATTATGTCAATCGGGTCTGATGCAAGAAGCGTTCGTATATCAGGGGGACAGAGAACTTATATATGTATATATCTTTCTTTTACGAAAGAGTCGTTCGTTAGCTCGTTTAATACTCAGAGAAGATTTAACTACGCGCCTCTACACAGAAGTACTGTACATGCTCCTCTTCTCTACAGAGCTCACTGTACCCAGCAAACAACGTTAGGTGCATCCCCACTGATTCCCAACGTTGCGGAAACCATCTTAAGCTTAAACAGACGCTGGTGGGTGGGTGGAGGAAGTGCAAAGGAGGGGGAGGCGCGGGATAAACGGTGCACCTTCGACCATTGCACGAATACACATTTGATGGAGTCTCACAATTGATATAAGAATGGAGATGCGCGATGGATATGGATTATTTTAAGCTATCCCTTGGTTTCGTTCGTGTGGTGGGCTGTGTGGATGCGCAGGCTTAAAAAAAAATAACGTGCGTTCAAGCGAGCGTATATAATGATACGAAAGAGTCCGTGAATATAAAAAATACAACTCGACCTGATGCTTGAAGTCCTAACATCAGAGAGCAAGAGTACAGAGTACCGTGTGAGATATCCCATAAAGCCAAAATAAATTACACAGCAACTATCCTCGCAGGCCAACCTGACCGAAGCTGCAGATTGCTATTTCTGTCCCAACCTGAAACGCAGGGGATACGAAAACGAAGGAGAGTAAATATATCATCTTCAACGAAAATCGATAGTTCAGATCGTGATAACATCCCGAACCCTTCTCAGCCAAAAGACTTGCCCGTTCACCCATACTCCGTTCATCCGTTCTCGTATAGGTTGGATGAAAGATACTCCGGGGTTGTCCTGGCGGAGAACTTGCCAGGGTCCATGTCACTGCTGAGCAGAGACTAAAAAAGAGCGCTAAAATCAAACAACAGGAACTCATCCTTCTTGCCGGCTTGACGCAATCGCGGGCGCCGCCTCATGTTGGCTGGAAGAGACAACTCCGCCCCGTATCAAATCAGATATCAACACTAAAATCAACACAGAAAACGCCAAGACCCGACCTCCTGGAATTACTATTATATAAGCCACACTAGTACTGCTTTTGGACCCTTGCCTCGGCGAACTTTCCCGATTCGTCTCTCTCCACGCACCTTTTTTTTTTTTTTTTCGTCTCTTCTTCACTTTTGTCATGTACGATGATGTGATGAAGACGGCGCAAGTTTGACGGCCGATGTCACCTTGAGCGAAAGAAACCCGAAGTTCTGCCTATCATTTCGTTGTGGTACGATAGCTTATCGTTAGCCATGCTTATCTGTCTTGCTTCGTTCGCCTGTTCACCTCCCGTGGTATGAAGCCGATATCAGATCTGCCGCCAACCAAGGAGAGACATATATAACTACCCAAGGCTATCATATTGTTGACGGAGGTTATACTTGGCCCCTGATCCAGCCAAACATGAAGCGGGAAGTTTCAAGAGCTGACCTAGTGGTTTGCTAGTCTTTCACTTTCCGACCTTTTCGCCTTTTACATGTGGTGGCGGAACATACCTTCCGTGCGCCATCTTTGCTACGAAATGGTTGGGAAAAAAGTAAAGACGAGATCACCCGAATAGTCACTAATACTCCGCACACAGACTTCACGATAGTGAGAAAAGGAAGATGTGCTTCTGAAGGGCGTCACGTTGACGAATTAATTTTTCAGGCTAAAAAGCTTCAAACGATTAATTTGCTCCGCTCAATCTCCGAAAACAAAATATTTTCTTGACGGGGAATATTAAACGCCAACCAACCTAATTCATTCATGCCTGGGTTCACCTTCTTGTTTTTCCTCTACCAGACGATCAAAGCGTAGGGTTCAACCAACCTTGGGTTCGACTTCCTCGTAAAATCTGCCGGCCGAGGCAGAACTGAGAGAGGGATACCTTTTCCCTACAAAGTACCCTTCTCCCGCTGCAGCAAATGAGAGCCTCTGTTCAGGCAAGGTTTACACTTCAGCCGAAACTGCTCAAACCAAAAAATAAAATAAAATGGCTGCCTGTGACGTACATAACTTAAACACTACTTGGTTTGTGCTGCTCGGGCTTGCTCCGGTAGACTTTTGCAAATTCTCCTTCGACATGCATCACACGTGATTGGGAGTCAGGTCATGCTATCCTTCACATTATTGCCACAAAGAAGCCTTCTTACCAGAGATTCATCGAAGGATCAGCAGAGGACGATAAAACGATAAATTCAATGATGGTCTTTTCTCTTATCTTTCAGCGATGGCTTCTCGTGGCTTGGGGTGGGAGAAGAGGGAGCTATAGAGTCGAATCACGTTTCAACCTTGAAAACTAGTGAATTAGGCGATACTCGAGTCAGTCTGCTCCAGCGGATTTCAAAGACAGTTTGGCCGGCGATCAAATTGATCAAGATCTGAAGGGATGATGATGTGGCTTCTTCCCAAAGAAATCTTATTTTATTGTTTTTCTTTTATTTTTTATTATTATTTTTTTCTGGCTTTCTCGGTAAATCTTCCTTCATACTCACAATCTTGACTCCCGTCATTGCCACTATGTCGGTGTAAGGTTGTACGGATTGCATGCTTCACTGTTTTTGTTCGTTCTCGTTTCCTGTTCATTTCCTGATTTATCGAATTTTATTCACCAAGTTATGGCTGTTGAACACTTTGGTCCAAGTTTAACTGCTGCGTACGGTACGTGCTTGCTCGAACCACCTCAAAAAACAATACGAGGAGAGCAAGGAAGCGCATGCACGCTGCGTGTCATAACTCCCTCATCCGTCCTAGCATGACCTTGATTGCTGGAAGCTCGTATCCACAAAGGTATCCTCTTGAGCTTGAGGTTCAGCATGCCGGATCCGCCTTCCGCTGGCCCTACCTGGTACCACGCATGCTGTACAAGCATGGGCATGGGCACTTCGGAGTACGGAATTGCCCTTCATCAACTGTTCTCCCCAGCGTCAGCTTTCGACTCAGCACATACCATGTATGGTGTATCAATGCCTTGGGCGATCCTCAAAGGGAGAAGAGAAAAAATAAATTCACGTAAGGGGTCACTGGACTGCCATATGTTTTTTTTTTTTCTCTTGGCCAGCGAACTCTGTCGCTGCCGTTGCTAGAAGACATGAAGTGCAAGCAGAAGGAACAAAAATTGGAGGTGAAGAAACAGAAAAACAAGCTCCCCTCTGGTTCCACAGGTTTCCACACTGCGGTGTCCACCTCCTGACTGGGAACTCGACAATCCGGCCGCTTTTGATTCCATTACTTTAAATCTTCCTGAACAACTAATTCGATCGACCAACGCTTTTGGGTACTTTTCCACATGACTATCCCTTGTGGGCCGAGGTTCAAGGTACCCAGTTTCTTATTTTTTTTTTTTTTTTTTTTTTTTTTTTTCTGGTCTTCAAGAGGCATGAAAGTTATGGTACTTTGTCCAACGGCAAACTTTCAATTCTAACTTGACATGCCCAGTGGCTCCATATCTTCTAGAATTTTTTTTCTTCCCTTTTCGACCAATTTTTACTCTTTGCTTTTTTGGTTCACGTCTCAGGTTTCTCACCCTCACCCAAAATGGATATGATGACTTTCTCGTTTTAAGGATAATTCTCCCTTGGAACAGGCCTCTAACCGTTGAACCAATTCCTCCAATCACGCAGCGAAATCTCCTTTAAAATTTGCGCTCGTTAACTCCGATTCAACATCAAACGGCGCTGAGCCAACAAGGAATTACCTCCCTTTTGCGGTAAGTTGCGCCATTTACGCAAGCCAAGTATATATTATACTATTATTTTTTTATCTTATGATATTATACATATTTAATTCTTTTGCCTCGCGAAGCGGTGTTCCCGTGACCTATTGGCTTCGCAAGGTTCCATGCCAAAGAAAAGTATGATTCCGTAGATATACCACACGGCACGTTGTCCACGCGAGTTGATGTAACGAATAAAGCTCCGTGTTTAATTATATGGATTGATATATGTCATGCCATGGACGCGTTTGATGAGTTGCAGAGACTTCACACGTGATATATACCACGTGACTTTATTGATGAGTCATCTCCCTCACACAGCATATTGTTATATCCAGTTTGCGGGCCCATCGATCGTCCCGACTGAGTATCTTGGCTGCCCACGCAGCACCGTTATAATATACAAATACGTACAATTAATCTAACCATCCCTATATCTCTGGTACTTTGATGGCACTATGACACCGTAACGCCTTTTCCCTCATGCGGCACGAATCATCAATTTGTTCCTGACTATATCTACATCTACGTTCGATATAGGCTCAGCCTCACATTAACATAACCATGATGATGTTCAATATAGCCATCATGATACTCAGTGCGGTCATAATCATGATGCCCGGTGTGGTTATTAACTAAGAGAGCTCCGCAAAGCAGAGGAGGTTATTATAAACAAAGGTAAGTATAGATCATCAGGAGAACAAGTGCCATTAATATACAGACACGGTAAAGGAGTTTCATACTCATAGTTAGCTACGTTACTTTTAAAAGGCAATCAATGACAGTTTATTTAAGAATAGCGGATATCCATATTGCTATACTATATATACTATGTAAGCTATCCACTGTGTTAGGACGGTATTGGAATAGCGTTGCACCGTGTCAAGTTATACCATGGTTTCGGCACGGGAATACAGGCGTTCCACCCCCATATCCCGCTATCCATGGATGGTTGATCGTAGAAGTGTGAATGTGGAGAAGTTGTTGGCTTGTGTAGATCAAAGATGGTTGCTCTGTAGAATTCGGCCGCAAAGTTGACGATTGAGATGAAAAACACAACAGTAGAAGGGGAGGGGATAATAAAATAAAACCGGTTACAAGGGACTACAGAAGGGACTGTAACGTGGTGACATATGATAGATCGCATAAATTCGTCATCTTAATCGAAATTTTTGGTTCTAAAATACATCATAGACGAGGCCGTGAAGGCCATGGAAGGAGAGAGGATAGGTTGTAGGTGTCGGTTGATCAACTCGCAGGCAAGAATGTACGTGGTCGACCTTCCAAACAGGCGGCCGTCTTGGGCATCTATCATACGTGAAGGATGACCCAAAGAGCTGCTAAGAAATGCCAAATATGATCGATTTTTTTTTTCCAGTGTGTGTGTGTCGTTTTTCAATGTAGAGATATTGATCAAGTAAAGAATGCCGAATACTTCCAAATACTCATCCAGTCTACTGTCACAAAAGACTGATGGACCTCCCTGAGTTGTTCGAAGAGTGACTGTTTTTGGTGAATGAATTTAAGCAATGGTCGTGTCAGCGGCAGCCTCAACCTGTCCTTCTTCAGCTTGACCTTCAAGGACTTCGTCTTCTTTTCCGGGGCTGTCGATGGCGACCTTGACGGCGATCTCACGACCGTTGACATCCTTGCCGTGCATCTCCTGGACGGCCATCTCTTGAGTGCTTCGGATCCGAGGGTGACGAAACCGAAGCCACGGCCCTTGCGGGCCTCACCACGGGCCTGGAGCTTCTTGACCATGAAGTGGGGGATAGGGCGGAGGGCGATCTTGGCAGAGGTAGGCTCGTAGCAGCAAAGAGCTCCTTCAGCTGTAAACGGGTTAGTATTTTGGCGTGTATATATAGTTACGGTGATAGACTTACCCCCTTCCTCAGTAAGA